TGAAAGGGGACACGTATTCTGACCTAGAAGGCTGTCGCAGATGTTAAGCGGGAAAGAAAAACCAAGTTGCAAAGTAGTCGCTATCCTATCAGTTCATTCGAAATGTTTTTAATGTTAATAGATTCATTTAAAAAATCTATCTAGAGGAAGTTAACTTGTATCAAAGCTATCAGCGGCTCTCTCTGGGGATGCTGTATTTTGTAATGTTTACATTTTTATGAGCATGGATTACTTCTGCAAACAGGATAAAAAGTCAACAGAGTTGAATTATTTCCTCAAGGGAAGAAAGAAAGAAACAGCTAGTAATGGGGTTTCTTTACTGTCTTGGGGTGATGTTTCAGGGGAATTCTGCAGTGAGTACCCTTGAAATCCCGGGATTCCAGCAAGGGTGCTTTTTACTCGTCATCAACCAAACTCATAGGTCCGTGCAGAGAGACGACGATTCTCCATGGCTCCCTTCTGCCTCCTTTATTTTGGTGTCTCGAATGTCCCCATAGCTATCATGCTGCCCTTGAACCTTGGCTGATCTTGAATCTTGACAGAAGATACCAGATAGACATGGAAAGAGAGGGACAGGGAGAAAGCACCCCCCAACAGAGCATGCTTATGCTGCGACCCCTTCTGCTCTGTGTCCTCATCTTGCTGAGGCTTCAGGCACACCCAGGAGCCTAGCTGTGTTTTCTTTTCTTTTCTTTCCAAGAATTATTTTATTGGGACCAGCAGTTGGTGTAATGGTTATTATGTCATTGGACTCTCATGTAGTCTACCATGGTTCAAGTCCCGGACCCGGTGGCTTAAACTCATGCCGGGCACATTTGTGTGCATGCCCAAGATCCTGAGAGGAGAATGGAGGAGAAGGGATTGCGGTGTGGCCATCCCTCTCACTTTCTGTCTCTCTGTCTTTCTCTGTCTTTCTGGTGAGCACATGTGCCCTATAGCAAAAACCTCTCAAAAACAAATTTTATTTAACTTAATTAATTAATTTTAATTTCACCAGAGAGGGACAGAGTGAGAGACAGAGAAAGAAAAGGAAAGTGAGAAAGCAAGCTACCAGGTCCAGGACTTGAACCATGTCGGTCATGTGGAAATCCAACACACTTAACTACTACACCATCTGCCGGCTCCTGTCTTCAAGCTGCCAGGGCCGGGTCTTGAACTGTGATCTTCCATGTGTGATTCAGCTCTCCCAACACACTGCCCTTAACCACTGCACTACAAGGCTGCCCCCTGGCTGATGATCGGGAACCAGTTTATTTCCTATTTTCTTCTCTCGCCTCACAAGCTACTTTAGAAGGCACATAAAGACGATAGTAAAGATCTTGGTCTCTGACTATGGTTTGAGTCTGGGATCTGGCAGCTTGAAACTCAAGCTGGGCACATGTGCGTGCCCAAAATCCGGAGAAGGGAATGGAGGAGAAGGGATTGTGGTGTGGCCTTTCCTCGGTAAGTAGTTTCTTTTTTGGAAA